ACCACATTTTGATATTTTGACAGGCAACCGAATAGGCGCAAAAAGGTAAGCACCTCAATATAGAATCTGGCCAAGACAGCATCTAAGATGGTCTCCAAACAGGCCAAGAAAGGTAGAATCGCGCATTTTCTCTCCTAATTAGTCAGTCTCCAACTGGCACTCAAGGTGGAGCAAATAAGAAAGCCAAAATGAACTTCAAACCAGGATCCAAGGCAAAGTAAACAAGATAACCAAGACAGACCTCAAAAAGCTAGAAAGCACCAAAGGGAGAGACTAGGTAACAGTTTATTCGTGCTTAGGTAACAGTTTATTCATGCTTAGGTAACAGTTTATTCATAAATAGATAACAGTTTATCTTAAGTAGGTTACAATATATATATATTGTGACCTACTCACCTTAATACCGAAAAAAAAAATAATAATAATTTAATAAATATAATTATTTATAAAAATATAATACTATAATCATTTATAAAACTATTTTTCTGGCTTTAAATTTAAAGCAATATTTTTTATAATAATATTAATATAATATATTATAAAAAATATTTAATTTAAAAATAATTAAAAACTATTAAAGTTGTCTATAAAGAATAGTTAGAGTTAGGGTTAGTGTTAGTGTTAGGGTTATAGTTGTATTAGGTAACAGGAGCAAAGTCGAAGGCATTAGCCGGAGCAAGCGACTACTGAGTAAGCAAAGCGAGCTCAGTTGGTATTACTGAGCGTAGCGAAGAATACAAGCTATATTGTCTTTAATAAAGTTGTCTATAGAGATTGTTTAGTGCGCATTGCTGATGAAAATAATTAAAAACTATTCAAGTTGTTTATTACTAATAAATATTATTTATATATAAAAAAAATATAAAAAATATAATAACGTTAAAGCCCGGTACGTAGCACCGGGTAGAGACTAGTCGATATTAAATAAGTCAGAATTTGTCACATGATCTTAATAACCTTCAATGATTTTTCTATCAGCATTTACATAGGTTTGGGTCAAAATCCTGCAAACAGAATCCCGACAAACAAAACCCCTACAAAAATTGACCAGAAAAATAGAACCTGCCGGATAAATATACATTATCTGTATAATATACAGATCATGGTATAATTGCAACGCATGAGGCCTTCGGCCACGTACTTTTGCTATTATCCCGCTAATACCTTGTAACCATCAAATCATGCCGATAACAAGAAAATATTACAAGCTATAGTCAATTTTGAAAATGAGAATAAAAAGTTGCAAAATCGATTTAGAAGATTGGTAATTATTAAAAATTTATTCAAGTATATAATATTTCAATCACATTATTCTTTCAAAATTAGCACTTTACTATCAATGCCAATTAAAAATATAATTAACAATATTTTCAAGTATCATATCAATAATTTCGTTTAAGAATTTTGAAACAATTCTTTTTATGTTCTTTATGATTACATTTTTTATACAAAATATCGGTATAATAATTTTTAATTCCACAATTTCATAGTTGGAAACTACTGAGTTTTTGTGTATCTCTGATATTTATATCGCATATATATACAAATATAGAATCACGTGAAAATTTTTTTTCAGGTATTAGTATTTGAGAGCCACAATAGAAAAAACTGAATCTTCAAAATTTTAGAGGTTTCTCTTTGTACCAACGTTATAAATTTAAGTCACCTGACATAAATATAAAATATATATATAGTTTTTTGATAAACACAAATTTAATACTTCTTCCAGGTTTAAATTTATTGTATAAAAATTTTTTATAAAAAAATTACAAAGAGACAAATAATACAATATTTAAAATTTATTAAGAAATAACGTCATTAATTACTTGGCTTTCTACTACATTTACATCTTCATCTAGCTGTTTCTTTTCTTCATTGTAAAACTGCATTATTGTATCTAACATTCTTTCTCCATCTTCTTTAAACATTTCAATGTATCTTCCTTTAAAATCTATGTTTTTAGCAAATTTTAAAAAAATATCTTCACATAATTCATAAGGAATAGGAATAACACTACTATAAACTTTACGCTTTTCTCGTTTATAAATTTTACGATTAAATTTATTTTGTCTTCCAGTATACATACTAACATATATAAATCTTTCAAGTTCAAAAATCTTTGTTACGAAACCGTAAATTAATTGGTGATAATTGTTCCTATTTAGAATCTTAGATGCTAGACGCACACCTTCCCAATTGTAATATTGTGTTATGATTGTTGAGGATAAATTGTTTATCCCAGCTGAAAGACTCGTCACTTCCCAACCACTACTTAATGACCTTGTTACTTGAATTTTTCGATGATCAACAAGTTTGTCAAGTGTATGTCTGTAACGCGTAGTGTCTTCGATATACATGTCAAAACGATCAGTATAAATGTAGCGTAATGCTCTAGCCTCTCTTACACATATATTCTCATCAATTAGATTACAAACACTGACATGAACAATATCAAAACTATTAGCATGATCGAAGCAGTCTACATAATAAAGATTCACCACACATTCGACCTTCATCACCATAGTCAACTCTCTATCTCCTACGCGTCCATATAGTAAGCAACGTGTGGCTGCTGACATAAAATTGTATTTAAGTCTTGGTTGATCGCTTGGTGTCATTTCTTGTAAAAACGTATTAGCAATTACATCAATACTTTTATCTGTAATTAACTTGAATTTGAAATATTGAGTTGATATCCAAGGTCTACCATTAGATATTGAAATTAGAGAAGGTCCATTTGATATACCTCTGAAGCTTGGTAAACATGATAATATAAAATTTGAAGACATACTTTTTTTTTTTTTGTTGAATATTTATTAGGGATCATTCTTGGTTCTCATATATATGTATTTATATATATATATTGCGGTCGATTAAAAATATACAAAATGAATAAATAGAATATATTTAATTTATATGTGATTATTGTTTTGACAAATCATGTATAATTTCGTATCTATAAAATATTGTGACTTAGGTCATCGGCAAACATTAAATACAGTCAACCCTCTCTAAACGCATAGCCGAGGGCCCATAAAAAAGCATATATTTAGAGAGGTTTTGTATTTAGAGAGGTAAAAATCTATAAGTATCATATAAGTTAGAGCCAAGGCAAAACCATAAGTATCATATAAGTTAGAGCCAAGGCAAAACCATGCATTTGGAGAGACTATGCTTTTAGGAGGGATGCATTTAGAGATGTCTGAGACTTTTTCCTTTGAATTTAAATTATTTTATACATAACGAAAATAAGAAAATACTCTTGACTATTTATTTTAATAATTAAAAAATAGGGTAGTTATACAATTTTGTGCTGTGCAAAAGTTACGTTTTTGATGCATTATATTTATCAAAGCCAAAAGAGTAACTTCGAACCTTTTATCACACGACAAAAAATTCAAAGTTACTCTTGATTCTAATAAATATAATATATCAAAATCATAACTTTTGTATATTATTCTATCCTCCGGAGCTATGTTTACCAAAGTTACGAATTTAATTCTGCCTGTTTTTACCTGAGTTATGCTTGCCAAACCATAATTTTACCAGAACTACAAATTAATTTTCCAAAAACTTTAACAGTGTTACAGATCAAATTCTTTATTTCTGTTATATCAGCTAGTCCTATTAATTAATGCTACTATTTGTACGAATATAACTGATGATCCTAAAGACAGATATACAGGATCAACCTTAACAATTTGACAGTAGAATAAAATGTATTCTCTTCAAGTTTTATTAAATTGGATTAGTATATATTGTTAATAAAATGTATTTATAA